AAGGGAATGAAGGACAATTGTGGACACCGGAGGTGGTGTGAGAGGAGGTTGGGAAGGGACAGAGGGTCAGAAAGAGGGGTGGGAATAATTCTAGGAACTAGAAATAGAAAATTTTTTTGTAATGTGCATGATTGAGTCACTATGCAGTGTGTACTGGATGGGAGATCACATTTTGTGTGCTTTGATGATGCTTAGGGAAGGAATGTAAATTGAGTTACAAAAAAAAAGCTTCAGGAAAAAAATATATCTATTCAATAACTGCAGTAGGATATGTAGCCCCAGCTAGGTGCTACTTTATAGGATGCATAAAGTTAGACTTGTGTTCATGGAAATGTGTGTGTCGCCTGTGTTTGCTATGAGGGTATTTGGATTGATTAGGGTCTTTGGTGCTTCAACAAAATGTGGGAGGGGAAACAGTATAGAAAGCAAACATAGATACCAGAGACAGTGTGGGAGGAGAGCGGGAGGTGGCAGAGGGTAAGAGATAGGGAACCAAGGTTGGGGGTAAAAAGCAAAACATACAGAAAACAAGAAATGGAAGATCATTTGCTGACAATAACATGTTTGTTGATGTGCTTGATTGAGACAATATACAGTGTACTCTGGATGGAAAATCTCATTTTTTATGCTATAATGATGTACAGTGAATGAATGCAAATAAATAAATTGAAATAAAAAAAAAGGAGGAAGCAGAAGTGAGATAAAAAACGGTTAGGAAGACATTGGTGAGTCTTCAGGTTTCTGAAATTTGCTGATGGCTATTAAAAGATGCATATAAAATATTTGGTGTATTTCTGAATTTTTTTGTTTGTTTGTTTTTGTTTTTCAGGTCCCAGAACAGTTTTTTTCTGGGCTCCAATTATGAAATGGGTAAGTCTTGAGTTTTTGCAGAATCTACTAGGAAAAAAATTTCTTAAAAGGATCTTACTGGGGACCAGTGGATGGCATCATTGTTACATTGCTGGACTCTTACATAGTCGACCACAGTTCAAGACCCGGAACCAGCAGCTTAAAACTCACACTAGGCGCATGCACGTTCATGCCCAAGATCCCAAGAGGAGAGTGAAGGAAAAATGATTGTGGCAGGGCCTTCCCCCGAAGGGGGCGATTTCTTACTTTCTGTCAATGATTGTGGCAGGGCCGTACCCCGAAGGGGGCGATTTCTTACTTTCTGTCTCTCTCTCTGTCTATTTAGCAAGTGCATATGCCCTATAGCAAAAATCTCTGTAGAAAAATCTTACTAATTTGAACTACCTTTTATGAATAACATACATTAAAATATTTTTGGTATGGGGACCAGCAGCATGGCTATGTTGCTGGACTCCCATGTAGCCGACCACGGTTCGAGTCCTGGACCCGGTGGCTTAAACTCATGCCGGGCACATGTATGTGCATGCCTAAGATCCCCAAGAGGAGAATGGAGAAGGGATTGCGGCGTGACCATCCCCCCTGGGGGTTGATTTCTCGCTTTCTCTCTCTCTGTCTCTGTCTTTCTGGTGAGCACATGCGCCCTATAGCAAAAACCTCTCAAAAAAAAAAATTGGTATTCCTTTAAATTATTTCAAGGCAAATATTTCCAGAAGTATTCTTTTTAAAAAATTTTATTTATTCATCCATTTATTTTAATTTTACCAGGGAGAGAGGCAGAGAGAGAGGGAAAGTGAGAAAGGAAGCCACCAGGTCTGGGACTCGAACCATGGTCGGCCATGTGGGAGTGTCCAGCGCCTTAACCACCACCACACCTGCTGGTCCCACAGAAGTATTCTTTTTACCTCACAAAGCACACTACCTACCTTTAGTTTTTCTGAATTCCTTAGATAAAAGAACTTCTGTGAACATTTGTTATCAAAAAGCACAATTGTGGGCCCTAGGAACATGTAATTTTGCTCTAAAATTTTATGACTAAGGAAAACATAAACACGTAGAACTGCCAAATTAACTTTTATTAAATTAGTATGAGAACTGAAGATAGCAAACCAAAATATAGGTGAGGAAAATCAGTCTCAAAAAGTAAATAGATTAGGTTGGCTCCAGCCTGGTATTTAAGGGTGCTAGATACCACAAGCCTGCCTGTACAGTTTGAGTTCCAGATCTTATGACTTTAAAAACACCCTGGACTCTTGTGTGTGCATGGGTGCTCAAAATAGTGCCAGGATGGAGAGATGGAGAAGGGATTTGGGCTTGATCGTGCTCAAATGATGCTTTCTCCTTCCCCCATCCCCATCTTTTTTTCTGTCTCTTTCTGGTGAGTACACTCCCTTTGGCAAAATTTTTTAAAAAGGTAGGTGGATTTAGCTCAGTATAAATACTAGCATTTGGTGAGTGAGTTAATGACTAGTGCTCATTTTGCTAAAAAGGAGTCTTGGGTTTTATGTGGTCGGGCTGGTCTGGGCTTCTCGAAGTGTCATCTGTGGACCCATAGCAGCAATATCTGAGAACACATTAGAAATGCTGATCTCCGGCCCCACAGACCTGTAAAATCTGAACCTCCAGAAAGTTGTGTTTTTTTTGGAGAGGTTTTTTTGCTATAGGGCGCGTGCGCTCGTCAGAAAGACCGAGACAGAAAGACAGAAAGTGAGTAATCACTCCCCTGGGGGGATGGCCACGCCACAATCCATTCTCCTCTGAGGATCTTGGGCATGCACGCACATGCGCCGGGCGTTGAGTTTAAGCCACCAGGTCTGGGACTTGAACTGCAGTCGACCATGTGAGAGTCCAGCGACATAGCCATTACGCTAACTGCTGGTCCCAGAAAGTTGTGTTTTAATAAACCCTCCAGGTGATTCTCTTGCCCTCTAATATTTGAATCCTATACTGGTCTATAAACTTTTTTTTTCATTGTAAAACACACATAAAATTAACTATCTTAATCACTTTTAAGCACGCAGTTCAGTAGTGTTAAATACACTCACATCATTACACAGCCGATCTCCTGGTCTCTTCATTTCGTGAAATTAAGTCTCTGTACCCGTTACAGTCTCTGTCTCATCTCCCATCTCCAGCCCTGAGCCACTGCCGTTCTACTGCCTGTGTCTGAATTTGGCTACTCTAGGACTTTATGAAGGGGATTCCTCAGAGCCCGTCTTTTTGTGGCTGGTTTATCTCAGTTGGCATGATGTACACAAGGTTCATCCATGTTTAACCTGTACCAGGATGGCCTTTGTTTTTTAAAAAATTAATTTACCTGCTAAAGGTTCAAGACTGAGAGCCATTCTGTTGCATGCATGTTCTGTGTTTAGCTTATCCATTCACCTGTTAGCAGACACCTGGGTTGCTTGGTGCGTTGGCTATCGTGAGTGCTGCTGCTGTAAAGGTGGATGTACGGGTATCTGTCCCGTCCCTGCCTTGCATCTCTGGATTTATACCCAGAAGTGAAATGGCTGGATCATTGGAAGTCAGATCCACATCTGTAAATCCAAGTTGTTCTGAGTGTTAGCGCTGCAGTCACCTGTACCTCAGCTTTTGGATTTAGATCAATTCTCAGCTTTAAAAAAATGGTATGATTAATAAGAGTAGACTGGTGGTTGGGAGCTGTGTTTTACAGAGATCTAGGAAGCAGGGTTCTTTTTTCACATTTATGTATTGAAAGGTGGTCCCATCAGTTTTAAAAAAAAAAGTATGAATAGGTCATCATTTTACTTTGCCAGAGGGCACAGCACTCAGGCCGGGTGGGAGTGAGAGAGAGAACCTCATGGGGGCTGGTCAGGCCTCAGTCTCTTCTCCACTCTTCCTCCTTTCCGGATCTTGGCCATTCACACACACATGCCCAGTGTGTTTTTCAAGCCACAGGATCTGGGACTCGACCTTTGCAGTCAGTCCTGTGGAATCCGCTGCCTTACCTGCCAGGCCACAGACTGGCCCTCAATGGATCATCTTTAATGATTCTACTCACTGTCAGCATTCAAAAATAGTTTGTGGTTTACAAGGGGAAAAAAAGTAAATAAACCCAAAAAGCCCCATATTTATGAGACGTACATTACTATTTTACTCCTGCCTGCATTTAAAATTATGTAGTAATTATATATCTATACAGTGGAATTGGTTGCTGAATTACTATTTCTACCACCATAACTTTAAGAGTATTAGTGATTTCATCTACTTAGAATAAACTTGTTTTTGCTATAGGGCGCGTGTGCTCACCAGACAGAGACAGAGAGACAGAAAGCAAGAAATCATCCCCCAGAGGGGCTGGCCACGCCACAATCCCTTCTCCTCCATTCTCCTCTCAGGATCTTGAGCCACACACACACGCGCGCCCGGCGTGAGTTGTAAGCCACCGGGTCCGGGATGCGAACTGCGGTCAACTACGTGGGAGTCCAGCGACACAGCCATTACGCTAACTGCTGGTCCCAGTTTTATCCACAGCTTTAACATTTATGGATCTTTAAAAGTATTATATGGCACTTTTTTTTTTTTTGAGAGGTTTTTGCTATAGGGTGCATGCGCTCAGCAGAAAGAGAGAGACAGAAAATGAGAAATCACTCCCCAGGAGGGATGGCCACACCGCAATCCCTTCTCCTCTATTCTCCTCTTGGAGTCTTGGGCACACATGCACACACACCCGGCATGAGTTTAAGCCACCGGGTCCGGGACTCAAACCACGGCTGGCTACATGGGAGTCCAGCAACATAGCCATTACGCTAACTGCTGATCCCAGGCACATTTTTAATAAACAAAATATTGAAAGAAAGGAAAGAAGGAAGAAAGAAAGGAGAAAGAAAGAAGAAAGAACATTTTAACTATACCCCACTGAAGACGGCCCGATGCCGGAAAGAAGCACATATGTGGCCTTCAGACGTGGGAAACACACTTTTCATTGGATGGAAATGAAGGGCTCTGATGAGACTGCTAGCTGCCAGATGGTCTGTATTGGGTCATTTAATATATTCTCATATTTTGTGTTAATCCCCCCAGATCTGAGCACAGCAGCCGTGTTTTCCAGGTCAGGTGTGAGGTTCCAAGAATGGTCAACTGCGCCTGCTGTTTACTGGGCAGTGGTATGGTCAGAGACCCAGCCTCTGGGCCGCGGGTCCACAGCCTGCACGCTCTCACTTGCGGTGCCACCTGGAAAACTGTCACTGTCAGCCTCTTTCGACCTGCGACTTGGTGGGAGTGTCTTACATCACCTAAGTACTTCCCGAATCTACTGTCCCACTGCTTGAGTGAAGTTCAGAATAGAGATGAGAAAGAGCACCAGCCTGCTCCTCACTCAGGCCAGCGTTGCAGGGCACGATGCAGAGGTGGACATGCCTTCGGTGCTGCCTTAAAGATGGAGCTGCTGCTGTTTTCCTTCTTGTTACCGATAGCATTTTGTAGGCATTGGGCTCAGTACTCTTAAGTATATCATCCCCCCTTCACGATATCAGTGTTGCAAAGGTAGGCATTAGTAGTCTTTCTTTTTAATTAATTCTGTATTTATTTTTATTTTCATTTGGTATCAGGCATGTGTACTCGCCAGAGGGAGGAGAGAGAGAAAGGGAGAGAGAGAGAAAGTAAGCCTCTAGGTCTAGGACTCGAATCATGGTTGGCAGTGTGGGAGTCCTGCACCTTAACCACCACGCCACCTGCTGGCCCTGGCACTGGTATTCTTTTTTGTTGTTGTTAAGAGCTTTTTTGCTCTAGGACATGTGTGCTCACTGGAGAGAGAGACAAAAAGCGAGAAATCACCTCCCAGGGGGCTGGCCACACCTCAATCCCTCTCCTCCTTTCTCCTCTTGGGATCCTGGGCACACACACACAGGTGCCCAGCATGAGTTTTAAGTCGCCACGTCCAGTACTCTAACTACAGTCGACTTCGTGGGAGTCTGGTGACATAACCACCACGCTACCTCCTGGTCCTGGCACTGACATTCTTATTACGTAGGTTTTTAAGATAGGCTATTGTGGCACCTGACCAAAGTCACACAGCCAGTAAGTAGCAGACATCAGATTCACAGTGTGATGTAAGATCATTCACATAAGGCTGGGGTGGTACAGACACAGAGAGAAATAGGGCCATGGGCTGTTCAGACATGGAACCTGGGAGCTCGAGACCTTCGTGCTGGAGTAGCCCACAGCCTCCACGTGTCTGCTCAGTAAGCCGCAGTGTCGTCCATGGCTCAGTCCCCATCTTCCCCGCTGTGATGGCCGTCTTCCACCCTGCAGAAGTGGGACAGATATGGAGCAGAGAAAATGTATGCTGGAACATGGGGGAGGGGCGTAGGAGGGACGCCCAGGCGGGCACCTGGGACTGTGGGTGAATGCTAACAAGAAGGAAAAGAATGCTGGCCCTGATTCACTTGTAATTATACCCTGGCTTGAACCATTTAGCCCTTTTGAAACTGGAATTATTGCTGTGAACTATTAACTTCATTAACTCAAAGCTGTCTAGACTTCTTTTAAATTTATAAATAAATTTATAAGTATTCATGTGTCTTACTTAGAAGGAAAAGCCATTGCTGACTTATAGTTTCATACAAGAGCATCTTTTAGAAACTCGATAAAGGGGCCAGCCAGAAGTATGGTGGTTAAGGTGCTGGACTCCCACATGGCTGACTATGTTTCAAGTCCTGAACCTGGCAGCTTGCTTTCTCACTTTCCCTCTCTTTCTCTGTGGTCAAAATCAAAAATAAATAAATTAAATAACTATTTTAAAAAACAGGAACTCGATATGATGTGAAAATAATTTCTTAAGAACATGCTATTCTGGGACCAGCAGTTAGCGTAATGGCTATGTCGCTGGACTCCCACGTAGTCGACCGTGGTTCGCGTCCCAGACCCGGTGGCTTAAAACTCACACTGGGCATGTGTACGTGCGTGCCCAAGATCCTGAGAGGAGAATGGAGGAGAAGGGATTGCAGCGTGGCCATCCCCCCTGGGGGGTGATTTCTCACTTTTTGTCTCTCTGTCTCTCTCTGTCTGTCTGGCGAGCGCACATGCCCTATAGCAAAAACCTCTCCAGAAAAAAAAAAAAAAAAGAACACGCTATTCTTGGGAACAGCAGGTGTCATAATGGTTATGTCACTGGACTCCCATGTAGTTGACCACAGTTCAAGTCCCAGACCAAGCTGCTTAAAACTCATGCTGGATGTGTGTGCATGTGTGCCCAAAATCTCGAGAAGAGAATGGAGGAGAAGGATTATAGTGTGGTAATCCCTCCGGCAGAGGGGAGTGATTTCTCACTTTCTGTCTCTCTGTCTCTCTGGCAAGCACATGTGCTCTATAGCAAAAATCTCTCTTTTTTAAAAAAAAAAACAAAAACATGAGGCTGGTAGGTGGCGTGGTGGTTAAGGCAGCTGGACTCCCACTTGACTGACCGTGGTTCAAGTTCTGGACCTGGCAGCTTACTTTCTTACTTTGGCAGCTTGCTTTCTCGCTTTCCTTCTCTCTCTCTGGTCAACTTCAATAAAATAAAATAATGACAATTAAATTAATTTTTTACAAAGAAACAAAGAACACACTATTCTCTAGTGACATACTTAGGATTTGCTTTAAAATATTTAAAGAAGAAAGGTGAAAGGGAGGCAAAGCAAGTGTGGCAGACGCTCAATCCTTGTCCCCTCTGGGTGCTTAGGATATATGAGTGTTTGTACTGTTTTCTCTTATTTGGCGTAGGTCTTCATTTCTCATTAATAAAAATGTCTTATTGCAGTTCCTTTGCACTGTGTCTCTGCAGTGAAGTAGCATAGCTACTACCCTAATAGGGAATCATTACTAACCTTTCTGAGTGATGCTGGTAAGTAGAATACGAGTGAGATGGTTTTATCAAATACTGTTAGAAACACAGCAGAGAAGTCACGGTGTATGCTTAATCAAAGAAAATTTAACCAAAAAACTAGTATTATAATAAAACTTTTATGATACTTCCATTTTTAAAGAATAACAAATGTTTTGGGGACCAGCAGTTAGTGTAATGGCTATGTCGCTGGACTCCCATGTAGTTGACCGTGGTTCACGTCCTGGACCTGGTGGCTTAAAACTCACGCCAGGCGCGTGTGCGTGCATGCTCAAGATCCCGAGAGGAGAATGGAGGAGAAGGGATTGTGGCGTGGCCATCCCCCCTGGGGGGTGATTTCTCACTTTCTTTCTCTCTGTCTGTCTGGCGAGCGCATGCGCCCTATAGCAAAAACCTCTCCAATAATAATAATAATAATAATAACAACAACAACAACAACTGGGTTTTTTAAGAGAGATTTTTGCTATAAGGCACATGTGCTCAGACAGAGACAGAGAGACCGAAGGCAAGAGATCACCCACCAGGCGGGATGGCCAAGCCACAGTCCCTTCTCTCAGGATCTTTTTTTTTTTTTTATTTTTTTGGAGAGGTTTGGATTTGGAGAGGTTTGGCTTAATGGCTACATTGCTGGACTCCCACATGGTTGACTGTGGTTCAAGTCCCAGACCTTGTGATGTGTGTGCATGCCCAAGATCTCAAGAGGAGAAGAGGGGAGAAGGGATTACAGCATGGCCATCACTCCTAAGGGGTGATTTCTTGCTTTCTGTCTCTCTTTCTCTCCAGCAAGCATACTAGCCCTATAGCAAAAATCTCTCTCAAAAAAAAAAAATTGGAATCCATGCATAATTTTTTCATGACATGAATTTTTCCATGAGTTAAAAAAAAAAAAATTACCAGAAGGCAAGTGTGCTCACCAGAGAGAGCCAGAAAGAGGACAAAGCATCCCCACAGTGGTGCATGATCCCATCTCCGTTCTTCACCCTATTGAGATTTGGAGCGTGCACACACAAGTGCCCAGCTTGATTTTTTAAGCCACGGGGACCAGGACTCAAACCACATGGCCAACCAGGATTCAGCTTTCTTAACCACCAGGCCATAGGGTCCACCCTTCATGAACTCTTTGAAGATTCTGTGTATTTAAATTCATATTTGAGGAGCCAGCATGTTGTATGGTGGTTAAGGCACTAGACTTCCACATGGCCGACCGTGGTTCAAGTCCTGGACCTGGTGGCTTAAAAATCACACTGGGCATGTGCGTATGCATGCCGAAAATCCCAGGAGGAGAAGGGATTACGGCATGGCCATCCCTCTCAAGGGTGATTTCGCACTTTCTCTTTATCTCTGGCAAGTCTACACATCTTATGGCAAAAACATAAATAAATAAAATAAAGATGGCAAAATTTTTAAAAAATATATATACATGTGTGTGTATGTATATATATACATACACACACACACACACACACACACATACACATACCAATTCACATTTGATATAAGTATCACTAGTGGGCAAAAAAAACTCAAAAGCCCAAAAATATATCACATGTATATGTAAGATGTTATGTTATATATGTGGATATATCAGAATCTTGCCTCTATATATATGTTCTGACTTTCAAATACATGAGACTCCTTAATGTGATTAGTTCAAAGAAAGCTTTTCTGAATAATTTGCTGTAGCTTTTGTCATAATCTGTGTTTTCATAATGCATGGGTATTAGAGTTATAGCTACTATCATATAGAAGTCTCAGAAATGTTTGGTGCTTAAAAACCCTTCCCTCACACTCGAATGCTCCTTCCTCTGTGTTTCCAGGGCCTGGTGTGTGCCGGCCTGGCTGACATGGCGAGGCCTGCGGAAAAGCTCAGCACGGCTCAGTCCACTGTCCTGATGGCCACAGGTAAGGAAGACAGCTATCTCTGGTGTTCCGTGTAGGAAATAATTGTTGTTCTTTTGTACTATACCCGTTTACCTATTTCAAATATGTATACACTCAAAGAAATGTCCAGTGTTACCTCTAGGGAGGCACTAGGTTATGGGTGGGAGGGAAAGTTAAGAGGAGGGTTGCCGTGAACAAGCATCTGCATGGCTTTGTTTTTCAGGATTTGGTAAGTAGGAAAAAAGTTAAAGTTAATATTCACTTACCCTAAAAACGATTCTTTAATATAAGAACTGAGAGCATTTTGTATAACACAAAATTATTGAGACTTCATTGAAGGCTCAGAGTATACCATTTCTTTGCCCTTTGTTCTACATTCTTGTCATCGTAGTTTTATTTGTGAGTGTTCACCCTAGTATTAAAAGTGCAGATAAGTTATTACAGCAGTACTAGTATATTTTATGTTCCAACAGGGCTTATTTGGTCAAGATACTCACTTGTAATTATTCCAAAAAACTGGAGTCTGTTTGCTGTTAACTTCTTTGTGGGGGCTGCAGGAGCCTCTCAGCTCTTTCGCATTTGGAGGTAAGCCTACAGAGGTACGAAAAATCTGCTTGCTACACAGATGGAAATAAATATATATATATTTTTTTTAATTCACATATATCTCTAAGAATGTGCCTGAATCAGAAATGTAACATTTCTGTAAAAGCCTGGGCATTTGCAAAAACGTTAAAAGAGCAGTCGAGCAGTATGCTCTGAGTTTCAGCTCTAACTGTGGATTGCCTGGATGGACAGGCTTTTCAGGGAATCACTACTAAATCAACATGCCAAGTAATTTCCTGCGTGAAACTTTGACCACTTGCTTTCAATTTCATGTAATAAAGTGAGAGTTAAATATGTAGTTATGTGATAGGGTGGCTGAGGTGGCTGCATGCCACATAGCTAACTGCACAGTTTTAAGTCCCGAACCTGGCAGCTTGAGAAACATGGCAAATACGTGTACATGTGTGCCCCAGATCCCAAAAAGACAAACAGAGAGGGATTGTGGTATGACAGGTCCACGTGGGGAGTGCTTTCTCACTTTCCCCCTGCAAGTTCACATGCCCTCTAGCAAATAAAACAGGAAAGTATGTCAGTTAAGTTCTTAAATAAATAAATAAAATAGGAAACTTTGTCAGTTAAGTTCTTAAAACATGTTAGCAAGGCAGGCATGTGGCATGGTGGTTAAGGCGCTGGGTTCTCATATGGACAACCATGGTTCGAATTAAAGACCCAGCAGCTTGAAAATCACACTAGGCATGTGTGCGCGCATGGCCATACTGAGAGAACAGAGGGGAAGGAATTGCAGCATGGCCTTCTCCTGAGGGGATGATTTCTCACTTTTTCTCCTCTGTTTGTCTCTAAGGAGCATAAGCACCCTATAGCAAAAACCTTAAAAACAAACAACAAAAAACCTCTTTGGCAGCTTGGATCTTTTCTTACTCTTACTCCCAGAAACAAAACCAGATACAAATGAACTCTCTGAGCCCTTTTCTCTTTCCTTCTACCTGTTTTACCTTTAAGCTCCTGGGAGGGTTATTTACAACCGTATAGCCATTATCAACTGAGAACAGGAAATGTGCTTCCCATTCTCTTCCTAGCATAAATTGATCTATTCTTGTTGACGATGATTTTTCTTTCTTTTTTCTTTCTAGATACAACCAAGAACTAAAAGCTAAGGCAAACAAATAAAGAGTGTTTCCGGTCACCTGAACACGCATCATGTGGATACCCCACTGGAGCTATTGATGGTTTATCTCGGTTATCGATAAGGCAGAGCTGACTGTGCCATCGTCCAGAACGCACAAAGACCCCTAACTATGACTGGTAGCTAGTGCTTGATTCAGCAGAAAAATAAAGCAAACTTTTAATAACTGTTTCTCCATCCATATGACCTGAAGATCTAGACCTACGAGTGTTAAAACATCTTTTTATCATTTGTCAATAATAAATCATCCTTGCTCATCCGTACCTCAGCCTTCTGTCCCAGTCAGCCAGAATGTGTTCCTCTAAGAGCACGCTCGTGTAAGCAAGGTGCAGGGCTGCCAAGGTGACACACTCTGCTAATTTAGAGTAAGGTGGCCGAGAAGAGGTAAGTGAAGAGAAGTACTGCTGAAGAGAGCGAGAAATGATGGGTGGTGGGATGGTTAGCAAAATGACCAAAGCCTGTTTTAAAACATTTTAACTTGACCTGAAGAATCTTGATTTTTGGGACCAGCAGTTAGCATAATGGCTACGTCACTGGACTCCCATGTAGTCGACCGCGGTTCGCTTCCCAGACCCGGTGGCTTAAAACTCATGCTGGGCGTGTGTGTGTGCGTGCCCAAGATCCCAAGAAGAGAACGGAGGAGAAAGGATTGCGGCGTGGCCATCCCCCCTGGGGGCGGCTTCTCACTTTCTGTCTCTCTCTTGTCTGTCTGGCGAGCGCACATGCCCTATAGCCAAAAAAAAAAAAAAAAAACTCTCAAAAAAAAAAGAATCTTGATTTTTTTCTTTGCATTTTGTATGAAATTCTTTTACAGTGAAGGATCTTTAAATAGATTAACTGAGATAGTGTGTCAACACAGTGCCTGGTTGAGGTGGGTCCACCTTTTTAATCGCACCTAGTAACTGATACAGCGTACGCACTGAGTTTGCCTCAGCTCCATGACTTTGGGCAGGCCAAGAAAATGGCTGGCAGGGACGCTGAGGCAGAGATGGGCTTCCTGTGACTCCGTGACGTCTGCCTGTTGGAGCAGAGCCTGCATACATCACTTGCCCCACACCAGGAATCAGCAGTCTGTGTGAGGCTTCAGCGTGGAGTATGGAGCTTTTCTTTAAGGTACTAGTAAAGCCAGTCCTTGTGAGAACTATAGTCAGCATGACTCTTTAAACTCCGAGTTTAAAGAACTAGACCAATCCTTTATGCATAATACTATCCTAAGACTGGCGAGACTCTGGCAGGCGAAGCCTTCCTCCCTACCATTTGCCCCTTCTCGTGGTCCCTCTGCGAGGGCAGGATGAATACCTGATGGGCACATGAAGAACTGCGGAGGTGGCTGCTGCTTCCTGGGCGCAGGCTGGCACCAGGCTGAGTGTGCTCACCGTGCGTTAGCCAGGCTCCGCATTTAGGAAACCGTGTGCACACACATGGTGTAAATACAGACAGCGTGTCCCAGTGTGCATGTTACGTTGGTGCATCACTTCCTGCCCTCAGCCTGCCCCCTGTCACGGGGTCTCCTCAACCCACTGTCGGGCAGGCTAACTGCAGCACTTTGATGTGGTCGCAGGCGTCCCATGGTGGGTCTCAGGAGGTCCCTGACAAACCACCACTACATGCTTCCTAATAAATGTGTCCCAACACTCCCAACCCATCCCTTCATTAAATCTTTTGTAAATGGCTTCACGTGTCCTGGCAGAACCTCTCATGGCCAGGAGAATGGAGGAGAAAGGAGTGTGTCATGGCTATCACTCCCAGGGGTGATTTCTCCCTTTCCCTCTCTCTGTCCCTGGCAAGCACACTCCCCTGTGGCAAAAACCTAAAACAAACAAACAAACAAAAAACCTGTCATGGTCACTTGGAACACATGGTCAGTGATGAGTTTCGTAAGTGCTGTCAGAAACTCAGTACGAAGAAGTACTCCTGTAGGAGCGCTCGTGCACATAGATGCGGAACTCCGCAGTGGCCGCCACTGTTCCGGCTAGACAAGTGAGTTCCCCAGCACGATTTTCTAACAAGGCTTATTGATGGCTTAGGTGAGTTCTCAATGCCAGGCCTGTTAGGCTGGGTTTCAGCCCGGCTCTGCCACACATTAACCATGAAGCCTGGACAACCTCTGCCTCTGGGCTTTAATATTTTCAAACTAAATCTAATAGTTCTTCATAGAGCTGTTACAAAGATTTAGATAATGTTTTAACAGTGCCTGGTTCACAAAGAGTGTTTAATGAAAGGAAGTTTGGAAAACAGTAAGCTTATTCACTGAAGTTAGACGCAGTTAGACTAGAAGTTTTCATTGAGTTGCGAAAGGGCATTCTGCTCACCTGTTTTGCACCCTCTGAGGTAATAACTACGGGTCAGGAGAATGCAGGCTGCGGGGAGTAGGGGCAGAGGTGGGTGGAGAGTGCTCAGTAGATGTGTTTCTCCAAGCCACATCGATGCTGCTGTTTCTTGGACAGATCGCCTTCTGTAAGTTGTTAAAACTGTAGCAAAAGGGGCCAGTAGGTGGTGTGATGATTAAGGCACTGGACTCCACTGGACTGACTGCAGTTGGGAGTCCGGGATCCAGCAACTTGAAAAATCACACCAGGCATGTGTGCACATGTGCCCAAGATCCCAAAAGGAGAATAGAGGAGAAGGGATTGCCATCTGACTATCTCCCAGGAGGTGATTTCTCACTTCCTGTCTCACAGTCTATCTCCCAAGAACGCACATGCCCTGTCAAAAGCCATTGGAAGAAAAGTGGTAGCAAAGGTCAAATGCTAGCAAGGCTTTGACAGCCAGGCTCGGCTTCCTCTCTACAAAGCAGGAGTCCACCAGACCTTGGTACAGTGAAGTAGATGTAGCAAGCATTGGCATCAAGACCGGCTCTCTCCCTCAGGGTCTGTCTGGTTATGTGAGGTAGATTGTGTTATGTTAAATTATGTTAAATCAGGACATGTGTGCTCACTGGAGGTGAGGGGGAGAAAGCACCCCCAGTGGACCTGGTGGTGCCACAGTCCCTTCTTTTCATCTCTCCATCCTGTCTGGATTTGGGCAGGCACACACCCATGCCTGATCTTTTCAAGCCGCCTCGGCCCGGATTCAGCCATTCACGATTCAGCTTCCTTAACCACTAGGCTACATGGCCTGCCAAGATCAGGCTTTAAATATGTGCCACCAGAAGTTCATATTGCTCATGATACACATTAAGAACAATTAGAAAATGAAAAATATAATTTCAGCTGTGAGAAAACATGCCAGCCTCTTAACACATATTTTACCAGTGTCATATGAGACAGAAAACTCAGGTCCAGTGCCTTACTGGGTCTCAGGTTGCTTTCAAGGTAAAATTGGTTCAGATTATACACTTAACCAATCAGAAAGGACAGATACATCATTTTACAAGTAAAAATTGATTTCACGAAAACCTCTGAAGATGAGTACTGAATCATCTCTGAGTACTTGTCATGGGCCTAGTACAAGATGAGTACTTATCACAAGCCTGGTACAAGGTGAGTACTGAATCATCACTGAGTACTTGTCACTGCCCTGGTACAAGGTGAGCACTGAATCATCATCACTGAGTACTGGTCACGGGCCTGGTACAGGGTGAGTACTGAATCATCACTGAGTACTTGTCACGGGCCTGGTACAAGGTGAGTACTGAATCATCACTGAGTACTTGTCACGGGCCTGGTACAAGGTGAGTACTGAATCATCACTGAGTACTTGTCACGGGCCTGGTACAAGGTGAGTACTGAATCATCACTGAGTACTTGTCACGGGCCTGGTACAAGGTGAGTACTGAATCATCACTGAGTACTTGTCACGGGCCTGGTACAAGGTGAGTACTGAATCATCACTGAGTACTTGTCACGGGCCTGGTACAAGGTGAGTACTGAATCATCACTGAGTACTTGTCACGGGCCTGGTACAAGGTGAGTACTGAATCATCACTGAGTACTTGTCACGGGCCTGGTACAAGGTGAGTACTGAATCATCACTGAGTACTTGTCACGGGCCTGGTACAAGGTGAGTACTGAATCATCACTGAGTACTTGTCACGGGCCTGGTACAAGGTGAGTACTGAATCATCACTGAGTACTTGTCACGGGCCTGGTACAAGGTGAGTACTGAATCATCACTGAGTACTTGTCACGGGCCTGGTACAAGGTGAGTACTGAATCATCACTGAGTACTTGTCACGGGCCTGGTACAAGGTGAGTACTGAATCATCACTGAGTACTTGTCACGGGCCTGGTACAAGGTGAGTACTGAATCATCACTGAGTACTTGTCACGGGCCTGGTACAAGGTGAGTACTGAATCATCACTGAGTACTTGTCACGGGCCTGGTACAAGGTGAGTACTGAATCATCACTGAGTACTTGTCACGGGCCTGGTACAAGGTGAGTACTGAATCATCACTGAGTACTTGTCACGGGCCTGGTACAAGGTGAGTACTGAATCATCACTGAGTACTTGTCACGGGCCTGGTACAAGGTGAGTACTGAATCATCACTGAGTACTTGTCACGGGCCTGGTACAAGGTGAGTACTGAATCATCACTGAGTACTTGTCACGGGCCTGGTACAAGGTGAGTACTGAATCATCACTGAGTACTTGTCACGGGCCTGGTACAAGGTGAGTACTGAATCATCACTGAGTACTTGTCACGGGCCTGGTACAAGGTGAGTACTGAATCATCACTGAGTACTTGTCACGGGCCTGGTACAAGGTGAGTACTGAATCATCACTGAGTACTTGTCACGGGCCTGGTACAAGGTGAGTACTGAATCATCATCACTGAGTACTGGTCACGGGCCTGGTGCAAGTCCTAGTCATTATTAACTAAAGTGACGGGCATGTTTGTTCAGGAGACCTGTTTATGGTAGCCACCCTCCAGTGGCCAGGGTCATCAGTCTCCCCTGACCCTTGTCCCAAATATCCAACCAGGGGGAACCTGACACTGAGCCAGGCCTAGTATAACCAGTGGGTCACCAGCCTGGCGGGGGGTTGGGGGGCAGAACTATGCCAACCAATCAGACACAGGGTCATTGTCGGGTAACAATGGGCTCCAGTGAGGGTGTGGCCTGGAAAACGTCTGTTAGGCACAACTGGCACTTTCTGGGTCAGTTATAGACAAGGCATGACACTCGTGCTGTCTCCAGAATGACGTTCCCCTAGCCCCCTTCCTGTTCCTGGCAGTGCTGAGAGCTAGGCCCTGACCAAGACCCTGGCGTGGCCTCGGCTGCGGAGGAAGAGGAGGTATGTGGAAGTCAGGGTCGCAGTGGGCAGGCTGGCTGCGAGCTCAAGGTGAAGGCAGCCCTGTGACCTGAGGCAGCTGCTGGAGCTCGGGAGGTGCGGGAGCCTTGAGCCAGGACTCGAGACCAACCTGCTCAGACGCCAGACGCCTTAAATGGCGCCTCGTCCCGTGTATCCTGCATGCGCTGTCTTTCTAGTTCTTTATTTAGCTCTTCTGCGACTTCTCATGTGATACCTTGTTTCTTGAAGACTTTTTAGTTTTTTGCTATAGGGCAAATCCATTAGCAGGAGAGAGAGGGAGAGGGAACGCGAGAAATCGTCACCCAGGTGAATGGCCATGCCACCATCCCTTCTCCTCTGGGGACTTGGAGCACACACAGGCATGTGTCTGGTGTGCTTTTCCAGCCGCTCAGTCTGGGACTTGACCCACAGAGTTGGCCATGGGATCCAGCGCCTTACCCGCTCCACCACCTGCTGGCCTCATCGCCTCCTTTTTAGCAGTCATCAGCGCCTGTCCTGTGGAGGAAACAGGTCTATAGAGTGGTATCTAAACAGGGAGATGAGTCAGGAAGAGGAAGTGTGCACATCAAAAGGTAACCAAGGATATATCCATAGGAAAGCCACGTGGGTTTGCAGACAGCTGGTCCGGGCAGCCTGAGCGACAACTCCAAGTTCAGAGCGTCTCCTTTGGACTCTTAGGAAACCTACTTTACAAGTTGGTGAAAGTTGAACATAAGCTGAAATCTACTAGAAATGCTAGGAGGGAGAAGTGATCCGAGAGATAACCGACCCCTAATCTCCCTTTAATTTTCATTCTGTGGGAACTTCTGTGTTTTTAAACAGACGGAAACCGCACACTTCCCTCCACTCAGGACACTTTCCTGGCGTGCTTCTGGGGCCTCATACTCCTGCCTGCTCTTTCATTCCTGTGTCCTTCCTCTGGGTGCCCTCTGCCACGTTCTGTTCTGTTTTGTTATTTAGAGAGCTTTAAGTTTAGGGTGCATGTACGCGCCAGAGAAACAAGACAGTGAGAAATCACCCCAAAGGGGTGATGGCCATGCCTCGATCCCTTCTCCACTTTCTTCTCAGGACCTTGGGCGTGCATGCACACGCACCTGGGTGGGTTAATCCACCAGGTCCAAGACTGTAACCATGGTGGACTACGTGGGAGTTAAGCAATGTAACTATTCTGCCATCTGCTGGTCCCCTTTAATTTTTTAAGCATTACTTTATTTAACTTTTATTATTATTTTTATTTCTTTTACTTAGACCAGAGAGAGAGAGAAAGCAAGCTGCCAGGTCTGGTACTCAAACTGCATTTGACCATGTGGGAATCCAGTGCCCTTAATCAACATGTCACCTGCCAGTCCAAATTTATTCATTTTATTTATTTATTTATTTATTTATTTTGGAGAGGTTTTCGCTATAGGGCGCGTGCGCTCGCCAGACAGAGAGAGACAGAGAGACAGAAAGTGAGAAATCACCCCCCAGGGGGGATGGTCATGCCGCAATCCCTTCTCCTCCGTTCTCCTCTCGGGATTCTGGGCACTCACGCACACGCGCCCAGCGTGAGTTTTAAGCCACCGGGTCCGGGGCGCGAACCGCGGTCGACTACATTGGAGTCCAGCGACATAGCCATTACACTAACTGTTGGTTCCCTATTTATTTTATTTTTTGACAGTTTTTGTTTGTTTTGCTAGAGGGCGTGTGCGCACACAGGAGAGACAGTGAGATCACTCTCTGGGGAGCATGGACACAGCATGGTCCCTTCTCTATTCTCCCCTGGAATCTTGGACACGAATGCACACTCGTGAGTTTTAAGCCGCTGGGTCCAGGATTCACACAGTAGTCAACTCCATCGGAGTCCAGTGATGTAGCTGTCATGCCACCTGCTGGTCCCCCACACTCCATTTTTTACTGCGATCGATTTGGGCAGGCACAGCGAGGCACCATCGACACGCATTGCAAGGTGCAACACCTCCTTCCTGGTCACACACTTCCCTAGAGTGTCAAGAAGCAGGTACAAACTGATCCATGTGGCCTAGACAGAGTGTGGACTTGCAAGTCCCAACGGTCTGGGTCCCTGCTGGGACCAAGGGCATGGTAATAACTCTGAGCTTCAGTTCACATCAGTAAGGTGGATTCGGGCCCACCTTACCATGCTGTTTTTGAGGACTAACTGGGCAACCTATGCAAAATGCTTCACATAAAAATGTCTTAATGAATTATAGTTACATGGCATTTGTCCATAGAAAATAAATATGTCACGAATCATTTTGATATGTTGTGGAGCTAAAAGCAGGAGACTGTCTTCTGAAATAGAGAACTTTGATTCTTATGGGTGTGGATAAGAAAAACTCCCAGGTATTCATTGTAGACATTTCTGCCTTTTTTAAAAATTATTATTTATTTAATTTTAAAGGTTTTGGCCATAGGGTCTGTGCATCCACTGGAGAGAGAGAGAGGCAGTGAGAGGGAAAGTGTCCCCCTGGGGAGATGGCCTGCCACAATCCCTTCTCCATTCTCTTCCTAGGGTCTTGGGCAGACATGCACACATGCCTGGTTTGATTTCAAGCTGCCAGGTCCAACAGGAACCGCTGTTGTCCGTCTGGGAGTCCAGCGACGTAACTCCTATGCCATCTGCTGGCCTGTCTCTGCCTTTTAAGCCCATGAACAAGTAATTTTCCTCTCCTGGTTTGATTTCCGAATTTGTCATCTTAATCTCAAAATGTATCTGTTTTCCTCTCTTCATATTAATAAATCTAGAAATATCTATTCAATCTTCAAATCACCTGACTCAAAACAATGAGATCTTACAATCATCTAATTTATCTTTCCACTAAGTTTAAGAATCACCTCCTGGGGCTGTTAGGTGGCATGGTGGTTAAGGGCACTGGACTCCCACATGGCTGACTATGGTTCAAGTCCTGAAACTGGCAACTTGCTTTCTCACTTTCTCTTTCTCTTTCTCTCTCTCTCTCTCTCTCTCACACACACACACACACACACACACACACACACTCACTCACTCACTCTGTCCTCCTCTGGTCAAGTTAAATAAAGTCTTAAAAGAAATAAAAATTTAAAAAAAAACAAAGGATCATCTCCCGTCAGAGGCAGGGAGCTGCCTACGGCGCCCCACTTTGAATGTTCATCCGTACAGTGTTTATACTGGCTTCCCAGTGAGCGCCACTCAATGGTCTTGGAGATCCTTTCCCCGCCACAGAGGAAAAGTCTAACTCACTTTCCATTCAGGGTGAGAACTTAAGCAAGACGGGGGGCCAGCAGGAGGCGTGGTGGTTAAGGCGCTGGATTCCCACGTGGTTGACTGCAGTCTGAGTCCCGGACCTGGTGGCTCAAAAATTATGCCAGACTCATGTGCATGTGTGCCCCAGATCCCTGGGAGGATGGAGAAGGGATTGCAGCATGGCTCTCCCCCCTCGGGGGTGAAGTCTACTTCCCCTCTGTCTGTCTGCTTTCTCCAGCGAACACACACACACACAAAAAGCAAGATGGTCTGCCCTGCGCCTGAGGGTGTGGCATTGGAACATGCAGTAAAAAACTGCTCATTGTTTAACCTTCAAATGTAAGTGTTTATCTACCCAAACTGGCGATCCTGCAAGTGCAGGCAAAGAACAAAATCCGGAAGCCCAGTAGTAGCAGGATGGCGGGAGGGAGGAGCAGAGCCGCCCCTGCTCGGGTCTGCTAGGCCCTTGCTCAGTCCCGCAGCTGCACAGCCTACCGCAGAAGCTCCTTCACCGCACCAAAATGAACAGTTATACACAACACGGCTGGGTGTGCAAATGCTGGAGGGGAAGAGAGAGAGAGAGTGATGACATTTATGCAAAGGTGGTTAGATATCAGGAATGGTGGCTTTGGGGAGCAGAGGCGGCATTAGGAGGTTCTGAAGTGCTGTTGACATTCTTTTCCCTAGAGTAGGTATTACCTGGCTTTGTTTATAGTAGCTCAAGCTGTGCACTTAGGGATTGTGCATTTTGCGCATGTATTTGTATGCTGTGTTTCAGTAAAACTTCTTAGAAGGCAGCAGTAATTTGCAGTCAATCTAATTTTTCACACCATACATGTACGCATTTGATTTTGTTCATGTTTAAAAGAATGATTTCATTTATTATTTTGTTTTGCTATAGGGCACATATGCTCACGAGAGAGAGAGAGAGAGAGAGAGAGGGAGAAAGCAAGTCTGGGATTTGAATTGTAATCAGCCATGTGGAAGTCTGGGTCCTTAACCACCGTGCCACCTGCTGGCCCTCTGATTTTGTTAAGTTTTGTTTTGTTTTGTTTTTGTTTTTGAGAGATTTTTGCTATAGGGCACACGTGCTTGCTGCAGAGACAGAGACAGAGAGACAGAAAGGGAGAAATCACCCCCCAGGAGGTTGGCCATGCTACAAAAACCCTTCTCCATTCTTCTCTTGGAATTTTGGACACATGCACACGTGCCCAGTGTGAGTTTTAAGTCGCTGGGTCTGAGACTCAAACCGTGGTCGACTGTGGGAGCCCAGTGATGTGGCCATTACGTCATATGGTGATCCCTTGATTTTGTTAATTCTTAAGTAGATTGTTTTACATATATTCTCTGACTTCTATTGTTATTTCAGTTGATTAAGAAATTCTGTGATCCTGGTGTGTCATTCAGTGTGTTAGCTCTCCCTCCAATTACTCATCTTTGTTTAGTAAGAATTTACTGTCTAAACAAATAGAGAAAAATAGACATAGCAAACAGATAGTTTTGCTTATTTTAGCAATTTTAAAGACACTTCACCAACAATATTTTTTCTCATTCTATAAGGCATTATGCAAAATAATATTTACCTTCCTATGGAATAACTTTATGGTTTCAGATGTTAATCAAGGAAAACGGGATTCATGCTGGTAAAGCAACCTGCAAACCCTGCTTGTTCTTATCATTACTATGCTTTAAAGTTGTGGCTAAGACCATCCAAAGAGGGGAAGAACGCACTAGGAGATGGCTGGGCCCCCCGAGT